CCCAAACAAACAACAAACAAACAACCTTTTTCGATGAGATAGTAGGCCATTTTGCAACATTTCCTATCATTCCTGTATGTTTGCTTGTAACAGTGCCATAAAAGGATACTAGTTATGTTGCATAGTGGAATATGCAGGCTAACGGCTTCAGCACAACTGCTGCTGTTTGGACTGAAAACACAAAATAAAGGGAGGAAAAAGAAGGTACAGACACTGTAAATGGTGAGCCCTCTGATTTTCTCCCCCTCTGAAGAAATGGGTTGAAATAGTCCCCAACTTTCACAGCACATAATTAGTTTGGTGAATTTGAACTTATTTGCCACAACCATAATGATATGGTTGTGTCAAACCCTAACTCTAACCCTGCTTGCCATTTCTTTCACCTGTATTTCTTTCTCTAACACAGTTTTATATAAGCACTGATGAAAAATATAGGTTTACAGTCACTTAACACTAAACAGGTGTGAATGGCTCATGATTATGCTAGGCATTTGATGGAAGATTCAATGCACAAGTGAGAAGGACCGTTAGTTTGGCAGTTCTAATATTTAAATACAATCACTTACAAAACAGCAAGGAAGTTCTTGGAGTCAGGTTCAGTTAGTGACAGTATATGTTGTGAAGAAATCCTGCTTTGATCCTTCCTAAGAAGATACTTTCTTGCTCTCCCTGCTGGCTTTGACTCTGACTTTCTCTGGGACCTATTCCTTCTGCAGTAAGGGTTGATGACATTGTGTTTGACCTTCCCTGTGGCTGGTGTATCCAGAAACAGCCTGAATTCTTCAAGATCAATTCATAGAGCAAAGGTTCCAACTTACTGAAGGATGGCCCAGCTTCTTTGTATCACCTTCCTTAAAAGAACAAAGCACAGTCATGGAGTCCTGATTTAAACCCCACAGATAGCCAGTTCTTCACACCAGCAACTTTTTAACCCTGAAGAAATGGCTACCAAGTCCTTAGTCATGCTGAAGAGAACTGTCTTTAATGTAAGCTTTGAAAATTACTCAGTGAGAGAAAAGATGAGACAAAGAAGCATCAGGACCACCCAATTGGAACTGATCCCTTGTTAAATAAGCATCATCATCCTGTCTGTACAGAAGAAGCAGCTGGATTTGGAAGGCTGATGAGAAACAACAATTCTGTTTTCAGGCAAATGCATTCAGCAGTAAAGAGCAAGGAGAGAGAAACAGCCAACAAATATGATCTGTATTAGAAGAATGGTATTGAAGCAGCAGCACATTTTTCAAAGCTTCCACATGCTGCCAAAAGTGCTTTACATTTACTTAAAAGTCATGCCGCAAAATGAAATCCTTTTCACATGTGATTATTTTTCTATTTTTCAGCTTCCTCCCCATGTCCCCCACCTCTGGGTATTATCTTGTGGCATACACAAGATAATATAGTGTATCAAGACAGAGGCACTACAAAAAAGATCAAACATTCTACTTCATCATGCTAAAAGACTTTGATGCTACCCTAGGCAAGAAGAATAGAGGAGAAAGTTGGGGGCAGTGGGAGGGTGGTTGAAGCAAAAGGATACATCAGAACAGAATCTGAAGAAGATGGGATTATAGACTGAACTGCTTTAAATTATTGCTAGTGAGAACGGCAATATCCTAAAATACCGGACATGTGGTGATCTGGTAGTACATGTGGAGATTTAAACTCACTGAACAAACCCTCCCACTGCTTACTAGGAAGAACTCACTCCCTGCTGCTTTCCTATTAGTCTCAGAAGGAAGACTATACAGGTCGCCAACAGCCTGTATTTATTATTTGAATTAGGTACAATGATGTAAAACCAGTTATTTAGGTTCAGTGCATTGAGAGTGCTGCTTCAAGTCAAGAAGACTTTATGTCTTCTATATTTTGTTTCTGTGATGCAATTGCATTGCATCATACTTTTGGATAAAAAATTGGGAAAGGAGTCAGCTAAAGTGAATGCTCATGGATTTCAATATGGTAGTACAGGAAGGGTTTCCTACTGTAATTTCAAAAGAAATACACAGGAGTTAGGAATATTTAGCTATGTATGGATTTTGCCTTATGTTATCTTTTTATTTATCTATGTTATGATGATATCACATAATGTGAAGATAAGTTACTTATGATATTTTTATTTTAAGGCACAAGTTTATTCATTGGAAAAAAGATTTTTAGTAGAATTATTTAATTTTGTAGGACAGCATTTCTGCTCCCAAAATATGAACTACTAAAGAGCCACATTGCTTACTGTGAAATGCTTTATTCAGTATTGGTAATCTCCAATATAAAATACTAACAGTAAGTCTGCAGTGCTGTGCATGTTTACCTAGGGGAAGTTCCACAGAACACAATCTGGCCTACTTCTGAGTAAACATGCATAAGGAGTATCAGTTAAACTGCAAACACTTAACTGGAGTAGAGTTACCTTACTCCTCCTTTTACACTCTTCCTTTTTCTCTCTTATTTTGCAGGTAGGAATGGGCGGGAAATATGTGGAGTTGGCTTTTTGATTGTAAATCATCCAGAGAGCTTTGGCTATAGAAATGAAATGATATAATAGGAATACAGACTTTTCCTGAATTGACATTTACTCCCTGGAACAGATTTTCAGAAGACACAGAAGGCTGCAAAGGGAAGACTGAGGTAAGAAATGCCTATTTGTCCTTTTCATGGAAGGAAATGTAGGATTCAAGGCAGTAAAATCCCTATCTGGTATAGTATCCTAGACAAATTTACAAATGTCACCAAATTTTTCAGAGAGGGTTCATCCCAAATAGATTGTGAAGACCTGTAAAATGTCTCTCTAAAGTGGGTGAAGGGGAATTCAAACATATGCAAAATGATGCACACTGAGGACATTTTCTAAAGTTGTCTTATACTCCAAATTTCATATATGTCTATCTATACTGATAACCTTTAAATTGGCTGTAACCATTCAGGAAAGAAATTTTGGGTCATAGTAGGAAAGGACATGAAAATGTAAGTCTATTATGCTGTAGCAATATAAGGCAAATTCAGTAACAGGATTTATTGGAACAAAATTGAAAATAAATGATAAATATCCAGCAATGTGATACACATCTATGAAATGCCAAATAATTGTTTTCAGTTCTGATACTGATATCTTAAAAAGGACATGGTAGACTTGAGGAAGGTTTAGAAAAGGTCAACATTTACTCTGTATTCCTGACGGATGGGGAACATTTTTCCTCTATAAAAATGCTTACAAAATCAAGCTGAGTAGTTTAGAAAAGAGGGAACATGGTAGATATCATAAAATGTTAAACAAGGGAAAGAGATAAAGGGAATTTTCTCCTCCCCACTGGAAATACTGATAAAAGAAGCATATTTTACATAATGCATCAGTAAATCCTATGGGACGTACAGACTTGGTCCACCTACTACTGAGAAGCACTGTGCCAAATCCTTTGATCTATTCATTTTTGACCATTCATTTGTGGACAGAGGTGAAAAGCAATTCCTCTGAAAATTGATTTTGTGGTAATTCCTATGTGTAGGGCTCTAGTGCTTATGTAAGGAGATGACTGAGGGATGATTTTGTTATGTACACTACTTAGTTGATAACTGCTGAGAGGACTTAACCAGGATTGGGGCTTTCCAGTACTGCTGCCTGCTCCTCCTCCTCTAAAGGCACTGAGCAGGTGGCAGAAACAATGATATTCTACCATGTTCAGCATTATCAATGTAAATAATATATTGTATTGAAAAAGAGATTGGTTTTTAAATGTAACAGACAATAATTATATTCATTTTTATTAACACTTCATAGATTCCTTGATGGTCTATGTCTTCAGATGACTTCAAATATCATTTTATAGCTTTAGATATAGCTGCTGTTGAACATTTAGGGGAGGATTGACTATTTATCTCTGAATGTCTGACAGTATTATAGTTTTATTCCAATAAGAGCAAACAAGAACTTTTTAAAAATATATCCTCTCAGATGAATATTGCTTGCAAACTGTTTTGCAGAAATGTGCACTATAGAGATTATTCTACATGGTTGGGATGTAGTTCCAGTAGTCTCAGGACAGAATTTTTTAAATGACAAAAGCAATTAAATCTTAAAGGTATTTTTTAAAAATAACAGCTTGAAAATACTGAAGCTAACAAAGAGAATTTGAAAGAAAAGAATGTAAATAGAAGAACATCTCTAGGGAAAGAGCCAGGTACCATGTTTCAGTGTTAAATATAGAACTCCTCTGCATGCTACTCCTATCAGGGCTCGCACCAAGGTTGGCATGCTAGGATACCAGCCAAGGCCTCCATACCAGCAAGGGCCCACTGATAAGAGCCTCTGCTGTTGTCCCTGCTCTTTGCCATTAGCACTTGCCTTTCACTCTGGCCTACTGATGATGACAATGCTGTAATAAGAGAGAATAGTAGATGCCACTGCATGCTTCTTCACTGGCTTTCTTCTGGTCAAGTCAAAGCACTAAGGAGAAAGAGGATGAAGAACAATCTCAGCTATGTACAATGGTTATGGGCAGGCCTCACTGAGGGAGGGGAGCACTGAAGGGGTCTTGCCCAAAGGCCCTGAAAAAGCTGGTGCAGCACTGATTTACATAAAGCAGTGAGGTTGCCCCACTGGCCCTGATGCTGACACTATGCAGCTTTCCCCACTGCTACTCCCACTCCCATATGTTAGGCATTGATTCCTGCAAGAGGAAGGTCTACCTCTGTGGACATCCTCGGGAGGAAGAAGCCTGCCAATGTTCATACCTACCAGGGAGACACCGCGGGTGAGAGAACTGGGCCTTGAATGTATGGACACTTGTACACGAGTAACAAAAGGCTCATAAGTTGGGCAAAGCACCTTGGACTCCATTTATTGCCTTATGTAAGGCATACAATAACGTACAGCAGACAGGCAGTATGTATGCATCCAGATATAGGTGCTTCTCAAAATGTCAGATTAACACTACAATCCACTGAATAATATGTAATTTAAAATTGTTTTTGGCAATCACCTATTTCGATCATATCTTGGGTGTCCTCTCAACAGCTGAAAATGTTGCAACACCACTGCCATTGATTATATTCCTACTTCAAAACCATTTAAGCTTGCCAAAGTTAGCTTTTTTTTTCCAAATAGGAACCACATATGAGCCAGTTCTCATACAGTTGACTGGGAACAAACTTATCTTAGTAAAATGAGTAAGGTTAGCCATGTGAGTTTCAGAGCTTCTTAATGCCCTTAGAGCAGAATTTTAGCTGAGTGAAATCCATGAAAAATAAGTACAAGTTTCTATTGATGTCTCCTGATGAACCTTGAAAATAAACAGCATTGGAGGCAATTCAGTCTCTCAATAATTCTCCTTGGCTCTCACAATAATTCTCCCACACTTTTAAAATGTTGCCATTCTAGTCTTTGCTTTTCATTTGCATGAGACTATATCTTTACATATTCAGGGTTCATCTGTCCCTGATGATCTCTCACACATGTGATCCTATACTTTTCCCCCTGACAACATAATCAATTCTGGAGCAGCTAATTGTGAAATTTCAAACAGAGGATTAAAACCTCAATTCAGAAATAGAGAACAATGAGCAGATGAATCCTAATGTAAAAGAAATCTGGTTGGAATATCAATAACTTCAACTGCTTTTGGAAGAAGGGGAAATGAGTACCGTGGCATGCTCCCAAATGATGAAAAGTTCATGGACAGGGCTGTTGGATCTGTTTCTTTTGTACAAAAAAGTACTGGAAGGGTGCAACATTGTCCTGTGCATATATTCAATGTATAGGAATCAATGCACCTGTAAGGATTCTTTATGATATTTCCTATATTTACACATTTGCAAGCAGTGTGTAAGAGCTGAGATACATATAAGGAAGGGTGAAAATTTTGCTTCAGATTAGTTCTGATAAGAATTAGCAAAAACTGGCACATTTTACTTATTTGCAATGGAAATATCTTGAGTTCTGGGAGATTTCTCTCTAACTACACATCACGCCACTTGCATAATATATAGTTAAAGGTTATGTTTTATTCAGTTAAGTGTAAGCATGCAACGGGTGGGGGGGGAATGATTCTTCCCTTCCCCGCAGGGGAGAGTGGGCTGGTGAGGCTGGTGATTTCATATCAGCTGGGTCCTCAGCTATTGCAGTTTTTGGAGTGAGCGTCTAGGAGCTATCGATGGTGCTCCACAGTGCTAAGCACATTTTGGTGCCAGAGTTCAGCACCATGGATAGCTCACATAATGAGCCAAATGCAATCTGCACTGAATAGCAGTCAGCAGCTTCTCTTGTATGCAGGGATGGAATTTTGGAGGAAAATGGTGGAAACAAAGGTGTAATCTTCCTCTCGCTGGACACAGTGGTACAACTCCAAGCTGAGGTTGCACATGCTTATGCTAGAGTAAGTTAAAAAAGAATCTTGAGTGACACACTGCACTCTACTGTAATGTGTAGTTCAGCTCTAGGTGGATGCAAGTGGAAGGCATTCTTTCACAGCAACAGATCTACGACTCTGTATTAGATTTCCAGAATGTACTCTTGAGTTGCTTTGAGCCTTCAGTGCTGTCTGTTCTAAACAGGAGCAATTCTGTTTTTCACACACATTCACATGCCATCTTCAAGCTTTGTGTCATTTCTCTTAAGTTCTGGTTGGTTCTTAAGGATCTTTGAAGTGTATGCATTTTCATCCTATTGATTAAAGCATATTTGTATGAAATTTTCAGATTTTATTCACATTTTAAAAATGAATCCATAGTAGGGGTTCTTGAGTCACACTGAAAGCTCCAGAAGATACAGGAAGCAAGCACTTATTGCTTTCAAGGCCATGTTTGGTCCAGAATGTGCAAAGTAGGTAAATCCTGATTAAAAATAAATTGAAATGATTTTCTCACACATCCCTAGAGGTTCTGGAGTATGAGAGAAGAAACCATTTCCCCTATTATAGGAGGCTGTGTATGGAGACTTTAAAAGGTTTGTCTTGTTCAGCTTTTATTTAAGTGGCCTCCACAGGTCTAAGAATCAACATGAAGTCAATGCTATTGATTATGTTTCAGAACACAGCTCTGTGACAGCCTGTACCAAAGTGGCAAAGGTAATCAGCCTTCATTTTAGATTGCATTTGTCAGCACAGTGTATTTTCAAACTATGTCTTTGACGAAGTGTTTTTGAAGCCTCATTTACCACAAATGTGCAAGATTTCAGTCAATAACCAAATACTACTACACTGAAAGGAGGAAAAACTTCTTGAAAAACAGCAACAATAAAATGATAGTTTTGCAGTTTGCGAGTAACATTTAGTTGATGACAAGCAAGGTTCAGAAATGTATTATGGGGAATCAAAGCCTTCTTGAAACTTTGAAACCCCTCAGTGCTGGTGGTAGATCAATCATTTTGATAGATTTAGGCTGCAATCCAATGGCCAGTTACATGAAAGTAAGTCACATTGAACTTAATGAGACTTACTTCTTAGTAGACATTAAAAGGATGGCACTTACTGATTTTTTTTTCCTTTCATGCTGTGAATATTTGTGTGCTCTTACATTTGGAAGCAGCAAAATTCACTAAATAAGCTTTCTTCTTTTTGATTATTTAAATGCATTGGATGTTTCCCCAGGATCCTGCCAAGGTGCTTGGCCAAATCCAACTGACCACCTGGATGCTTGGTGCTTCCCTTCATGGCTCATTATATCCGATAGAGGGGTTATTCAGGTGGATCCGAGAGGTTGTAAATTCTTCCTTGACAAAGGCATGGTGTTGGCTTCTTTAAAGGAAGTAGTAATTGCATAATTGTGTATTTTATAATGTTGTAGCTTATGATTATCGTTATTAGTATTATAGTTGAGAATCAACCAGATATCTTTGTTGAGCAGTATAGAAATGTAAAACATAAAATGAAAAAATATACTATTTTAAGCATCTGAAGAAAGGCATTTAGTGCAGCAGGGCTCACAAACAGTGTAAGCCTTTGTGCAGCAATTTAGAATTATCCCATTGAGTTCAATAAGACTCATCTCAGGTAAGTCTCCGTAGCAGAGGTAGGAGAGCTTTGTTCTGTAGAGGGGTGTATCTCTTCAGGGTTAATCTGTGAGGGGTCACATGCCACCAGTTGTTTGGATTGTAGCCAAAAGTGGGTGAGGACACCCCCTTTCTCTTACTCCCTCTTTCTTCTCCTCCCTCCTTACCTTTCCCTGCCTTTACCTCCATTGGTGCATAAATTTTACCCCCTCCTCACACCCTTCTGGCTTTGCCAGAGAGCCTCTTCTTTTAACCACTCCTCTGTCCGCTTTGACTCACCTGCATTTTTGCTTCTTGTTTTCCTTGTCTCCCTGCATGCAATTTGGTTGAAGGTGGCAAGTTTCCCACATCCAGTAGAGAGGATCATAACCTAACCCCGTAAGTTTTCAACACACATAAAAACAGTTTAAATATTCAATACTAAATTTTAAATGCCTCTTATCGAACAAATCTCTCTCCTTGACCTATACATTGTTATTGCATTCCCTATTTCTTTACATCCTTGCACTGACTTCTTATACTTGACTATGAGCTGGTTTGTACTGTAAGGAATATTATTCAAGCCATGCAAATCACATAATTTCTTTGAGAAATTACATGTAAATGTCCAAGATAGATACGAGGTGTCTTTTTAGAGGGGGGTGATAATAGTTACTGCATTGTTGCTTGATTTTCCATAGGGGACATAAATCATGCTTCTGCTTTTCCTCAAGTGAAGAGTATATGTGAAAATCCGTGAAAGAAATCATAGTTTGGAAGACAGAAGAACACAAAATAGGACTGGAACAGGAACAAAGACAGAAGAAAAGTCAGATAAGCTGTAACCTGGAGGCTGGAAGACAGCTTGCAGGTACAAGCAGGGATTGGTGAATTAGTGTATTTCTAGTCCATATCAGTTCTTATGAATTAAATCATACTAAATGTATTCATTCCAATTTCTGCATTGCAGTCCCATGGTCTAAGGCAAACTACTCCAAGGAAGACTCCTATTAAATCACTCACAGCTAATCCCTCTTAACTACTCCCTTCTATAGCTGATTGACCAGATGATGTTTCTTTTCCATCACTTGACTCTACATCTTTCTCTCTTCCTCAGCCATGCAAGAGCATAAGACTGCAGAAACTGCTGCTAGCCCTTTAAAACTGTGATAAGTACACAGCAGAGATGCATCCACAGAAAGACCTGACTCTGCCAGCCTTCTGAAGTCCTCAGATGATGCCAGTCTTTCACTAGCACAATTAGAGAGAGTTCTCCAGGCAGCAGTTCCTGCAGAGTGTTCTCCAGTGTCTAGCCTTGTCTGACATGGATCCCAGCTTGCTCAGCATGATCTAGAACAGGCACTGACCACTATGATGTAAACCACTTTCCCCGGGCATCACACCCAACCAAGGCACACACAAACATTCATATGTATTGTCATATGCAATTTTAGATAATAATGCACTTTGTGCACAACTTTCTGCAATGGACACAGTAGCTTCACAAAATTCAGAAAAGTGTACCAGTCAAAAGATAGTTATTTTCTGATCTGCACATTAGTCTGGGAAGTGCAAATTTGATCACTTTGCCCAGTGTAGTTGAACCAAGGAAGTCTGGACAAGATTCTTTGAACACCTTGTCAAAGCTTGCTTCATCTCATTCCGCTTCTCTTTTAATTTGAATGGGAAAAATAAGCATTTCTGTGCATTTTTTTCAGATATACACAATTTTTCCCATCAACTAAAACATGGCAATGCTTCTTTTATAAACTGACAAGTTTACAAACATGCCCGTTTTCTGCTTTTTAGGGTCTCCCATTTACGTTTGGGATGTTCAATGGAGTAAGCTCTGATGATTTCTGTCCTGATACAGAATTCTTGTATATCCCTACTGTGTTTGCTTAAAAACTGTGGACCAACAAAATTCCCTGACAGTCTTCATTTCAGGTATCCCTTCCTGGAGATATAATGTGAGATGGTGAATCCAGTGTTTCCAAGGAATGATATGCTGCTTGCCTCCCTCTGTGCTCCACTGGTAGATTTGTAAATAAATACTAAAAACAAACAAACAAAAATAAAAAAGCATAGGCCTCCCAGTGGTTTTTCCACCAAAGGGAAGCCAAAGACATGTCATGCCATCCTTGGGAACTCTCGCTATTTGGCAATGTGGAGCACAGGTGAGGATATGCCATGATTACACTGGACTTTCAATCACCTGGCAATGTCATCACATCGTGTGCTAGTCATGTGGGACAGCTTTCCACACAAATGTTCTCAATGCCAGCTTTGCACTGGCTTGAAGAATATCATCCTATTTGGGTGGAAATATGCTAGACATGAAGAGCTTTCTATGGATAAGTGCCCCACAGCAGCCATCTTTATTTCTTCTTCTTGCTTCTGTCATGATGCTATCTTGGCCTCCCCACTGTAAAGTTATCTGCTCCCCTAGACATAAGTTCCACAGACACACATTTCACCTTACCTATAAAATGTTGCATGCAGCTGTCTTTTATTCAACAAGAAGCATGGGGGGACCTGATTTAGGTGCCAACATGAGAGTTAGCAGAGTCTGGCAAAGGAAAAAAGATCTGACAGGAGAGAATGGGCATGTGTTTCCTATGCATGTGAAGATGTATGATCTGAATTAGAATCACTGAAAATAGCAAAGAATTAGAACTTCGTACAGTTCCTTGTTATCAGGATGAACCAGCCTGCTACATATTACAAATGGCACCTATTTGAGCCATATGGTTGAATAAAACTGAAGAAATGGCAATATAAATGCTTTATTTGCCTGGATTGATTAAATTTATGATTCAGTGAAGTTTTAGAGTAAGCTGGAAGCTTGTGGTTTCTTACAGCTTTCTGTGCCAGTAACCAACATTTAGGATTGTTCTTGGAAATTATTCACATCTACAGCTTTATATTAATCAATAAGTTCAACAGAACCACAACAAAGTAAATAGCAATTCTATCACTATTTGAAAATTTTATTATATTGAGAGAGAGAGAGAGAGAGAATGAACCATAGTAAAATTACTCCCTGGTTGAAAGAAAAGTCAATCATAGTATTACCACTCCCAGACAAAACTTTGGAGAATTTGTGAGTTTGTGCAGGGTACAATTTATGTGTCCTTCTGAATCTCAACATCTCTAAGAAAGTTCTGGGAGGGTTCCGATTTTGTTAGGTTCTGTTCTGGAAGTTAATTTTAGATATCTCCAGAATCATTCCAAACCAGCCCAATATGGTACTGGATTTGAGACCAGACAGATCTCCTGCTTTGCCCCTGCTGTTTTGAATTGCTTCCCTATTTTCACAGGTATGCTCATACTTGTTTGTGCATTGTGGACTTGGCAAATCCAAACAGGTGAGTTTGTGCTTTATGTACTGTAATCTTTCATGAGATAAAACTATCAGTAGTTCACAAAATGCAAACATTAAAGGACACAGAAGATTCATTAAAACAAAGTGGTTCCTTGAAGAAAGTTTACTTCCATTACCCAGTTTATTTCAAAGGCCAAAAAAGAGGCTGATGACTTAAAACTGCTGGGAAGGTAAATGTCAGGGCTAAAGTAAGTTTATATTTCGTTTTTCACACAACCTTCTAACAGCAATGTTGGTTTACCATCCCTTTCTTTATTCTGGGTTTAGGTGACAATTTCCTGCTTATTACTTTGAAAAGCAGTATAGAATGTTTCTTTATGAGCAAGGTTGGAGCTCTCTGAATGGCTTGCATTCTGCTTTCCTCCTCATTTTCATTCTGAGTTTGAATGTTGTTTGTGTTAAATTAATGTAATGGATCCTTTTCTATGCTCTTCATTAAAATGATAATATAAAAATTGAATAGATCCCATTGAATGTGTGAATGTCAGAATTTAACAGAAAACTGTAAATGTCAGTAAGACAAGAGCAAGTGATAAATCTCTTAACTCCAAATCCTGCCCTGGGATATCAGCTAAAGCTGTGTACGTGCATTAGGTTTCAGGATTTAACTTTCATTGTAATGAGCTTCAGTTGCGAAGGTGTGACAGGAGATTAGGAAGAAAATTCTAAGTATTTGTTCCAAGAGTAAAGAAAAGGACAGAAAGAGGATAGTTACATAACTGTGGGGCCAGGACCAAGGAGGGTGGGGGGATAAGACAGAGTACAGTATTCCATTGAACATGTATGAAAATGGGCATAGGTAAGTGGAGAACAGGAAGGCAAACACAGTGTAATCAATTAGTGTACACAACATAACTAGATAATTAGTTCTCTCCTCTTCCTCCTCCTCCCATTTCTGTATTGTTTAATATTTATTATTTATTGCTTATTGATTATTGCATTTATATACTGTTTTCTATATAAGCCACCCCATCTGGATGGTTTATAATAAAATACAGTAAAATGAACAGTACTTCAATGAACTAGCAATAATACAGTAAGAAACAATTAAAACAGTACAAAATTCTGAGAGTTGATTGCAAAATAAGATAAAAGCAAGGCATGCAGCAAATCAGAAAGAAAAGCAATGTAAAAAAACCCAATTTAATTACAATTACACCTGGAAAATTAAAAAGAGAGAGAGAGAGAGAGAGAGAGAGCAGTGACGGTGCCAGGCAAACCAACCTGAGAAGCATATTTACAAGAGGGGTGCAACCAAAGAAAAGCCACCCCCCCCATAACTGTTGCCCCCTTCACTTCTTGCGGGGGAGGGGTCATGGAGATCAAGGACTTCCATTGAAGATCTTAACAACTGATTAGGGACATATGGAGACAGGTGTTCCTTTTGGCCTGGCCTCAAGCTGTTTAGGGGTTTGTATGTTAGCAACCACACTTTGAATTGGTCCCCGATTTCAACAGGCAGCCAAGTGCAAGTGGTAGAGGATTAGCATAATGTGTTCTCAGGGACTAGTCCTCATCAATAGCTGAGCTGCTCTGTACTGAACTAATTGGAGTGTCCAGACCACATTCAAAGGAACCCCATGTAAACCGCATTACAGTAATCCAGGCAAGAGCTTACCAGAACATAACTATGACAAGGTCTGTATTTAAAGCTCCCTAGGTAGTTTATAGCAATTTACAAAATACAAGACACCATTACAATAAAATAGAATATAGAATGCAGATGCAAGAAACATACAGCCTAAAAAATACAGCAGAAAATTTCAGTATACAACTTTAAAACAGTATACAGTTAAACTATTTTCAGAAAAACTAGAACTAGATTAAAGTACCTAGCACATGCCATTAAATGCCTGAAATAGAGAACAATCTTAACTCAGACTGAAAAGATGACAGTGTTGGTACCAGAGCAGGCCGTAATGGAGGAGACACCACTGAGAACTCCTTCTATCTTGTTACCACTGCCCAAACTTCTTTTGGAGGCGGCACTTGGAAGAAAGCCAAGTGGATCATAGTATGCTGGTGGATTCAATTTGGGAAAGATATTGCAATCCTAAACTATGCAGGGCTTTATAAGTAAAAACCAACAACTTGAATTTGGCTCAGAAATAGACAGCCAGCCAGTGCGCATGGGCCAGAGTTCCTCTTATATGTCCAGAACTTCTGGTTCTACTTATTCATTGGGACTCTGCAGTTTGCATAAGCTGTATCTTCTTCAAGGGCAGGTCCATGTACAAGCACAGTCATAGCCTAATTTGGAGGTTAACAGCACATAGACCACTGAAACTAGATTAGCCCTGTTTAGACATGGGCATATTTGGGTCACCAGCCAAAGCTGGCACTCAGAACCACTGAGGTGATCTGCATCTCAAGTGGCACTGATGATATAGAAGGACCCTAAAGCTTCAAAGCTGTTGCTTCGAGAGGAGTGCAATTCCTTCTGGAACAGGCTAAATACCATCCATCTGGTCAGAAAAACCACCTATCCACAACAGTATCTCAGTCTTGTCTGGATTAAGCTTCAGTTCATTAGTCCTCATCCAGTCCATTATTAAAGCCAGGCACCAGTTTAGCAGCTTCATCTGGTGAAAATAAAAACAAGAATGAAAACAAGCATATTATCAGTATATCGATAGCAGCACACTGCAAACCTCCAAATGACATGCTCAGTGGTTTCATGCAGAAAGTGGGTGGTGCATAAGCTTAACTTCTGAGAAAGCTAAGCAATATTCTGGAACCGCTACTTCTTGGAGTCATCCATTCAAGTAGGAGTGGAACCACTGCAGTGTAGCATCTCTTACTCCCGGCTCAAACAGTTGCCCCAGAAGATTACTATAGTTGATAGTATCAAAAAGCAAGAGATCTGGGAGTATCTATGGGGTTATACTCCCCTTATCTGACATAAGTTATCATACAGGGTGATTTGAGTTGAAACACAGTTGCCTATAGGATTTGTCATTCCTAGCCTAAAAAACTGGGAATTGTCCAAGTAAACAGACTTTACTCTTAATTAGCCAAAATGGGATGGTTTCAGATCTCATGCAGACAAATGTGTCTCAGCAAAAATGCCTTTCTTCTGGTGTCCCTACAACTACTAAAGAACCCTTCTTTTATGTTTTCTTTAGATCTAGTTGGGGAAACTTTGCCAAACTTATTTCAGAACAACAGAAGTATAACTATGTATGCTTCTGTTTACCTTCTGGCTAACGTTTACTCCTTCCTCCCTTAAATGGTAACTCCTTTCCTAACTGGCATCTTTACATCATCCTGCTTTTGGAACCCATGAAATACCACCAAATGTCCATCATCCTTGGGTACTGCCTTTCAGAAGATGTCAGCAGGTCAACTGCTGGTAATAAAGTTTATGCAACTTATTTATAGGATAAATTTAGTTGAAGCAATATTGTGGAAGTGTCTTTGTCTACAGAAGGTGTACCCTATATTTCCCTTCCCTTTTGTCAGAGCACTGACATTTGTTATTTATGTTCATTATGTGGTTAAGTTTCATTACACAACCTAATAATATGAGTCAACTAAACGGCAAGGTCTCTGGTGAGCATTTGAGGTGGCACGTATCCTCAGCAGTATGTTGTACAGGGTCAATTACAAATGCACAGTTAGCATATAAAGCTAATTCAGCAATATGTGAATAGTTCCTCTCTATAGACAGAATACTTTGCCCAAAGGACACTAGCAGGACAATTATTATTTTATTTATTTTAGAAATGAGGTTAAAAGCAGCAAGCAAAAGGGTACATGGATTTAGTTTATATGCAAGGGAAGAGTTTGAGGTTAGAATTAATGACACAGGGAAGGGACTAAGGCATTTAAATGTGGCTTTTCCTATCTTCTATAGGCATTGATGCAAAGAGGATGTGAGTGATGCTTTCAGGTTAATTGTGAGTCAAAGGTGGAACACTCTGCTGAAACAGGAAGATGAATAAGTAAAGATTAGTAAGTTAAATTAGTGAGTGAAGCTCAAAGAGGATCCAATTTACATTTTATCTATGTTCTGTCTTGGAATACAGCAGTGCATACAGTTTCTAAATATTTATTTTACACCTTTAATCTAGTGACACAAAGTAAACTTCACCTTGGCAAAGAAATAATAGGGTGACACTGTGTGTGACACAGTGGGGCCATATACATGACAGTCCTCTGTGGATTTATATGACCCATTGTGCTGAGTGCTGCTACCATTTTAAATATGCAGCCTTTAGTTGGACCTTTTGTGTTGTGTGAACCCAGTGAGCAGGGGTTATGCAAAGGTTCAAGTCTCAATGGAGATTCCATAACCAGCTGTGATGTGATTTCTGCACATAGCCAGTCTGAGGGCTCTAATAACTTACCAGCCCAAGGCTGTAAATCTTACTCTGCTTTATTTCTAAAGGATGAATCCTTTAGAAAAATAGATACTTTTGAACCATGATATGAATTGGGGATGGGGAAGAAGTTAGTTCACATTACATTTTAACCAGCAAGCAAGCCAAAACTTAGTTATTCTTTGAAATTTAGTTCTCTTCACACAATCTATAGCTCAAGTGTAGATCTTCAATCAAAACATATGTCTGAAAATCACCCTATCGGAGTAGGGTGAAAAAATGCATATATTAGTGAAAGTGATATGTAAAACTATACTACCTAAAACTATACTTTTATAGTTTAAAACTATACTACCTAACTATATTAGGTAACATGTATGTATTAGGCAATATTGTGCACAAAGATGCATATACTAGGAGAAATGCACACAAATATTTAGGAATACTTTCTTTTAAAATAAATTATATAACATTTGAAATTAACTAAATCTAAGACTGGAAAAATAAGAAACTGAGAGAAACTGAATTTAAGATTTGTCCATCTACCTAATCTGAACCTTCTGGACTGTTGTATGGATTATCATTGACTAGTTCATTATGCATATTCCAAACAGTTAATATATTTGAGGTAGAACATTAAGCAATGTGAGTGCTGTTTGTGAAAATTAGAGAGAGGAAGACAGAAAGACAAATATGTACTTTGAGGAACGTATTTTAAAATAAACATTTTTCCGTCCTTCCTTCCTTCCTTTCTAGATGCAGAATAACCTGGAAATGTACTTACATGTGAACACCTGTGAAAGTGACATGGACCAGAAATAGGTCAGTTTGCCTTGCCCAGATGTAATGGAATACATTGGCCACCATGCAAGTGTACTTTTAACATGCAAGATGCTATAATAACTATATGACTATGCACATTTCAGTTTTATTACACATGCATTTCAGATTGTATAGACAGAATACCTAAGTGCCAAACTAGTGAAAGGAGAACCTTACTTTTACAAAGACTGAACTGCAGTCCACAGAAACAAACTTTAATTTATCCAAAGTTCATACACAATTAACGCCAAATAAGCATTAACTGAAGCATATAATACGGATCAAATCTTAGCAGAATAACTGTAGCAGCAAAGAAGAACAACGCCGAGCACCTGCAGCATGTTTCAGATGTTTCTTCTGCCAAGCTTGAGCTTTCTCCCACATGTACTAAGCATTTAGTGGCTTTTCAACTAATATATTTTTGTCCATACACTGAGGTTTAAGTAATAGTTGTTGCTTATTCCAGCGCTTCAGTATACAACACCGTGCAATAGTCAGCCACCTGTTTGGGGGCTAAGCAGGATAGGGGACTAAGCAGCTTCCACATCAATTTGCATGAATTTGCATGGAAAATTGTGTACAGTATTTCATTTAATATACATATTTTTCAAGCATTGTTTCCAATATATACCCTTCCGTATGTTATCTTACATTGCATTATCTTAATACATCGAATGCATTTTGTATTATTTTTTAACTGAAGCACTGTATCTCTTAAACCGAAGAAGTGCAGAAACGGATGGATAATTGCATTCTGGTTCACACATTACTTTGGAATGTGTGAATTAGGCTGGTTGGTATTGAAAAGTAATTCAAACAGATTTATTTCTCAGTCCTACTCTGGAGCAGCTTGATGATGAAATATCTCTTACCCAACCGACTTTTCACTGCTTTCTGGCTTGAGTGGAAATGAAAAGAGTGCTGCCCTTGATCCATGATAATTTCATCCTAGCACTCTGCAGCTAGGGCATGGTGAAATAAGCAGCTGCTTCTCAGCTAACTTTTAAACTAAGCAGATGATGGAGGGCACAGATGAGTCGGGGGACTGATAATGGCAGGTGACTTCTGCCTGACCCAGCTAAGGAAAACAGCAGGTTGTCATGCAACCTTTCTTATGAATAGAATGCTGACACAACTTCGGTGAAGTCATATATATTTGCTGCTGGTTGAAGATCCTTGTAAGTTAATAAAGTAGTGGACATTTCTCTTATCCCAAGAACTTAAAATCTAGAAATGTGTGCAAGGAAAGCAACAGAAATGGAAATGGAGCAGGGATAAACAGGAAAGGATCAGTTACATAGAACTTTTGTAGGAGTCTGTGGGACAACCAGCCCACCCAACCCAACCGAACCCAATCCACTCGACCCTTTTAAAGGGTATGCTTTTGACAACTATATTTCACATCAGGTAGGCTGCAAAACGGGGATACATGACTTACTTGAAATTCATTATAATGGGACAGGGTGTGCCAAGAAGAGAGGGATTTACAAGATCTTAAAAGTGTGGCATGCTTTCAGGATGACCTCATTTCTGTGCATTCAGTTCTCCAGAATACAGTAATCTTAGATGGTCCTTTCTAGTGTGTATATGCGTGAAGTGTGAATGATAACCATGTGAGAAAGACAGTGGTTTAAAATGTTATATTTTGTTCATTTGAAAATACTTCAGATTACCATGAGTTAAGAATCTGTCAGGTTTAGTTTGTTCCAATTTTTCATTTTTTTGAATCGTAAGTTTATGCACTTTGATTTTTTTCTTTTAAGAATTATTTATTTATTATTTAGAAAATTTGTAGGCCGTCCATCACTGTCTATGGACGGCCTACAACATTATTTCAGTCCTCAATAAAATAAGTTAACTGTTCCACACTGAGCATAAAACTAATGTATTTAAAATAAATTAAATAAATCTAACACAATTAAATTACTATATGTTAAAATATTGTTCAAATAAAAAGGTCTTGACCTGACACCAAAAAGCATATAATGATGGCGCCAGGCGGATCTCTCTAGGGAGCGCATTCCATAGTCAGGGTGCCACTGCGGAGAAGGCCCTCCTCCAAGTATTCTGTTTCCTGACCTCTTTCAAATAGAGTTCCCAGAGGAGGGCTTCTGTTGCCAATCTTAGGGGGTGGGAGGGCATATAGGGAAAAAGGCGTTTCTTTAGGTATCCTGGTCCCAAGCCGTTTAGGGTTTTATAGGTAATAACCACCGCCTTGAATTGAGCCCAGACTTCAATGGGAAGCCAATGGAGCTGATAGAGGACTAGAGTTATGTGAGAATAACGACCAGTGCCCAACAGCATCCTGGCAGCTCTATTTTGCACCATCTGAAGTATTCGGACTGGGCAGCCCCATGTAGAGCGCGTTAAAGTAATCCATACAGCAATTAGTATCTTTGTGCACAAATCACCTAAATTCATAATGCTTGTATGCATTTTGCCTCATATATACATTTTGCAAATATTTTCCCCAACATAATACATTGTAATATTATTTTCTAGAATATAATTCACACATGCCTTACCCTATTTGTTTACTGAAAAATTCCAAAATTCACAAGGAGAGTTCAAGAATTGGACTCATCACATTCTTCTCCCTGCCCACTGCCATAGTGGGCAGGGAGAATGCAGCCAATTGAATGCAGCAAGAGCATATAAGGACTTGGCTGGCGGTGACATTTATCCTGTATCTGGGCTAGGAAAACATGTTTAAGTTGAGACATCATTGAAAGGGAAAGTTATCAAATTAAGAAACATATAGAAACAGCTATGGCAAGGCAACAATTAAGCAATTCCAGGTTCAGCAATATTCAAGAAGGGAAAGTATTTGCAAAGCCTAAATCAAGCCATGCAGGACTGGGGGTAAATATAAGCACACTGCTCCATACTCAAAGAATTTATAAAAGAAACAGGACCAGTGCGGGGAACAGATGTGGATGGATTTGAACATTTATTCTAAATTAAAATAAATTCATAATCTGTAGGTACAAGAAATGTACTGTGTCAGATGGAAATAGATGTGGATGTTTGCTTGGAAATAAATGACCAAAACAATATAGACATTTTTATACAGAAGTATACATAAACATGCAGACCAGTTTGACAGCAAGGAGTCAGGGAAATGTTTATGCATAGGAGATACTTGTGTAACGACAGATCATTAATCATGAAGACTTCAATTACCCTGGCACTGACTTATGAATTGAATAGCAAGGGTTATTTGGGGAGGTAAAATAGAATTATTTCTTTTCAAATTTGCTGAGCAATCAGAAAGACCAGAGATGGTTTTGGATCTATTCCCAAGGAAATATACTATAAATGAAAAATGCAATAAACGTTGGTGAATATTTGATTCTTGTGATCATGGAATAACAATTTCAAGTTGTAAGCACCCTAAAGAATATTCATAAAACTTGTGGCACAAGATTATTGGCCTTTAAAAAAAGTGGGAGGGACTGAAAAAATAAGCAATAAAAACAATCAGAATATATTAAACTAGGCCACTGAAAATGAGATTTTGTAGTTTCCAAGGAAAACAACAACAACATCTAACTACTTATTGTTATTATCTAGGCCAATAATTTACCTTCTGCTAATATAATGGACGGCCATAGCAGACATTACTGTAATGCTGTGTCTCGCTGCTATGACTTTCATTTGTATTCTAAAGTAGGTGCAGAAATCGCCAGTAGCAAAGTAGTAGTAGAGGGCATATTTTAAAGGTCTGGTCCCTGAAACTAGTTTAAAGTGAAAATGAAGGATGGAGAGAAGAAACAGAAAAAGTCAGTGCAAAAATCTGTACTTGGTAGACACATGTCTGCTTTGCTCATGTTATTCACATAATAGAGTTTTCCTGCCTACTCATTGCTCTTCAGTCCTAGTTGACTCCTAAATTATATGCAGCTACTAGCAATGTTGTGGAATATGGGGTGGGGACTGCAGAAGGAAAGGGATGTTATGGATATGAAGGATCTAACCTTGGGAAGTACTCATGGCTTGGGTTCAATCCCACCTCTAACACCCAATGTAGAGACTCATCTTCCACCATGAAGAAATCCCTCCTTTCATTACTTCTGCCAATATTAAACTATACCTGTTAATTCAATGTATACCTTTTCCCCTAAGAGAATTAGTCATTAAAAATACTAGGAAAGTAAACAAAATGATATAACATGCTATTAAAAATGAATAAAAGGAAGTTTATTACTTAAGATTACTGTTACTACTTTTCAAAGGTGTTTCTGGATTGTTAGTTGTTAAAAGCCCCAGGTCTTAATCCCTACCAAAATTAAGAGAATTCCCCTATCAAGCCCCACCTGTTAACTCATAGGCCTAACAATGGAAGGTAGTCTTCTTTCTGACAGAAGTTGATGGAATATGTAAAGCTTATTCACCAGGCTTCCCCTGAAGTCTTCATTTGGTCCAGCAGCTGCTCTTTCTTTAGACCATCCAATCAGCTGAAACTTAGAGTCATCTCTTTCCTTTGACAAGTGCTCCAGAAGTCTTCTTCTCCCCTCTTGGTCACCTTCTTCAACTTGTGCCTCATATGCTCTCAGCTCTCAATTTGACTTCCCAGTCATGCAGTTTCTCTTCTTCCTGATTGATATATTTCTCAGGCTCCCAGCCTTTCACAAAGACAGCTCTTCCCTAGGCAAAACTCTCCTGACACTCTACCCACAAACACCTCTCAACAGTTCCTTATAATGGCTGCCATCATAACCCTCCAGCCAATCAGTTTTGGTCTGGTTAATATTCCATCACACCACCTCTTCAGACTTAGAACTAATGGCATCTTTAGACTGCTTAGCTACTCTCCAACCAGATAGTTCCAATTTTGATCCTACCCATATAAAGGCAGAAAACTGGCTTCATTTTTCTCTCCATTTCTAACTACCAGTCTATCAGTATACTGTATTTTCAATGTATTTCTCCTCAGGAACAAGTTTTCTGTAAAAGTGTATATTTTCTCCTACTATGACTCTCTTCAGTCATTGAAACAG